GAATCAAATTCAGCCAGCGCCAATGACCTAATATTTAATGTGTACTATTTGATTGTGTCATGTTGTGCCATTGATGTGTGTCAATTAAAACAATGAACTTCAGTATTATGAATTTCAAAATGATTCAAACTCACTCACAACCACAATGAATTAAATACAATTATACGAATAAAAACATTATACAAGATCTTAAAAGAAAGAAACATTTTTGACTGTACGGTAATATATAAAAATAATGCCCTAAAAATTTGATCTAGGAAATTGTGTTTTGATATATTTTGTGATAAATTATAGATGACTCCGATTAGAGGAATATCCGATCAAGTTATTAGCACTAACTTCTAATAAGTAATTGTTCATAAATATATGATATTTCTTCAAACCATTAGATATCTTTTTATTGTCTCCGTGGAGACGTAAAGAGAATACTAGCTCTTGTTATTTGGCACACATTTAATATGACTACCGCATCGCCGCTTACTAATTAACAAGACAGGTGTTATTTTTAAACGACTTTCTGTCATTGTAATACAAGTATCTCAACTAAATGACGAAGCAAATAGAAATATACTATATTTTTGGAGGAAAATCTGTCACTGAATATTGAAAGAATTCCGAGAAAATGCCAATATACTGACATTTTTCTCAGTGAAACTGAATGGTGGAAACATGTGTAATGAATAAGAAATATTATATTTTAATTGTGTCTTATTTAAGTAAAGAAATATGAATATTATTTTATGAACTTATATATTTACAGAACCAATTTAAACATGCTAAGTGTACTATAAAGTAAACTAAGTAGGATCTTAATATTAAATTTTATAGCAGACATAAGATTACTCTTTCACACGATTTAATAAGAAAATAGAAGCGACAAGACTATTTTTGGAATAACAGAATATTGTTATTAAGATAAAATCTATATATATATTATGAGATAATTATAAATTGGTTAAGTTTATACTATAACATTAATTCATAGTATCACTCTGTATTATGCCATCAATAAATTTTATGAACAATTTTTAGTATATGAAGTTTATCACATATACGATCTATTTTTCGTAGGAAAGATTTTATTTAAATAATTAATTTGGGCAACGAAAATATTACCAAAAATCCAACTATCATATATTCATGGTCCTAACATAATAAATATTTCTATATTTTTTTATTCAAATAACTAATTAATAAACATTTATCTATTAGTTATTATATTTGATGCGATAAAAGTTTGTTCACGATTTTAGTGCGTGACTATGTTCTCATGAAAATCAAGCGATTTTGTGGATATATCGTAATATTACTCTTGAGTATTTTGCTCTTGCTGTCTCTTCAATATATGTTGTGTCCTAGATTGGGTTTGCATTTTCAAATAATTAGATAATATCATGAATAAAGAATGTTTTAAGTAAATAAAGACCTTTCGTTCTTGAAATACAACTTACGATTTGATTCCAAAGGAGTCGTTGAAAGATTTAGCCCTTAATTGCAGCTGGCAGTAAATTATGTTGTTATTTATTGCTTATTATCTCCAGTTTATATTCATGTTTTAATTCTAAGTCCATTAAGACGGAAAACTTATAAACATAAAAAAAATGTTTAAAATAAAGTATTGAGACCGTTGTAAAATGATAGGATTTTCGGACTTTATTTTTCTGTAAAGCAAATGAGTTATTAAAAATATTTTTATTGACGGTTATTGTAATATTCAAAATTAATTTGAAATAAATTTAATCTTTCTGTTTCGTAAACATAAATAATATAAAAGTCGTTTTAATGTTATTCTAATATTATCGCTATCACGATAGAGATGTGTTTCCTTTCATTTGAAACACCCACATCGTGAAAATAAATGCCATATGTTGCATCGTTAAATGTGAGAATAATACGATAATACTTCGTTTTATTTGGAGCCGTATGAAAAACTGTTTGCTTATAAAATTTTATGTCACTCCTTCAATGAGAGTAGCTTCAACTCTTTAATTCTGTTACGTTTTTCGTAAACATTTCATTTCGTGTTTATATTGAAGTGCACTAAACGTCTTTGATGTTTCCACACCTGCCTTTTACAGCTGTTGCTGTAACGTAAGTAAACATTTAAAAAATACCGTCAATACTAAGAAATTTACAACATAAATGGAACTTATCGAAGGATGAAAGTTAATATAAGGATTCCAAAACGTAGGTGTTGCCATATATTATTTCATACATTATATATGATGTTATAAATTAACATCTTAATGATATGTTAAAAACGAAACAATGACATTGATTTTTATGTATGAAAAGCTTCTTCTACGATGACTAGAGAGACAGAAATTTTATTATTTAGATTACATTTAAACTGATAAGATGTTGATACTCAGCTAAATGTTATTATTATGAATTCTTATAAAAATTATTGGCTTTTAAAATTATGTTTAAGGGTATATATATAATCTGCTCTGTATTAAGTTTCAAGAAGATAATATGTTGAGAGTAAGTTTCTGTTCTGAACGGTAGAATAATTTTAATCAATAAATTACTTCTGTTTAGAAACTCTAAACATAATGTCAATACTTCATATATGTTATATGGGAAAGTTTGTATGGATGTGTGAATGTTTGTTACTCGTTCACGTAAAAACTGCTTAATAGATTTGTATGTTCCTTTTAGAGTATGTAGGTTAGACATCAAAATAAGATATAGGTGGCAATGGTTTGTAGAATTCCATATAGTTCTTTTGGAAACATAGCAAGAAAATTGTACTTTGTTAGCTGTCACATGACCCAGTCTTTAGTGGTCACTACCAGTTTATTACTATTTTAACACACTTTATAAATTTTTCTCAAAAATTCTGAAGTTCAAGCGGACGGAGACGCGGTACGAACTAGTATTGGTATAGTTTTAAGATATTTGCTTCACTTCCTCCAACATTCTATATGTTAATAATAGTTCTACAATATAATAATCATGAGTTGTCGGAACCGACCTGGCGTGGCTTCTGTTCTTAGAAAACAAACATCTATAATAATGAATCAAAATGCATCATAATAAAATTTACGTACATCTAATATTATAATCGATTATAATAAACAACATTTGGTTTTTCTTCGACTTTTCCTGCCACCATACAAGGTTTTCCGTATTTTTTACACAGAAACATACTATACCTTTTAATGACTGTTACCGAAAATACAGCAAATAAACCTCTATATACAACTGTTAAAAATGCTTCATGAAATCGAAAATAAACATGAAATACAGCCGCGATAAAGAAACGTCTAGAAACAGTTACTGGATATTTATTTAACTCCGTTTAGAAACACAAACTAATGGTAGCTATAAAAAAAACTACACTAAATGAAAAGAGAATCAAACAATAATCAATCTTAACAAATGTATTCTGAACATCACAAAGATTTTAACATAGCTTGAAATGTTATTAATATGTTTACAAAGCCCAGTTTAGATACAATGTGTTTAAGTATCTATTATTAATATTCTTAGTATATCGGTTCCCGACACTTAAACGCATCGGACCGATACAGCACACTGTTTACACTATAAATTATACATATTACACAAACATTGGGATATATTTTATTGCACTATAAAATAGAAAGACGATATACGAACGTGGTCGACCGCATACCGTCAAATATACCGCGTTTCGATCTATTGAGTTCGGAATGCTCTATAATTTTTAATGTTTTAAGTTTATTAGAAGCAGAAAACGTTTTGTTTCCTCAACGAAAAAAACAATAAATATTTATGTTAAGGAAATTGTTAAGACACAATTAACGCACAACCTTATTTTATAAATGAGAGAAGATGAAAAATTGTAATTAATAAAAAAGGTAATTATAAGATTTAAGAAATAAGACGATTTGCTAAACATAAAATTTGTTTGTTCATAGAGTAAATTAACTAATATTTGATTTAAATAGAAGACCAAATATAATACAACATTTTAATATAAGAAACAATATATTAAGTATCGTCTTAAAATGTATATATTGTTATATTTTGCAAAAATTCTAATGAGCGTTCAACGTGTACATTTCATACTTAAGCAATACAAAAATTTTGGCCAGAAAAATGTCGATGAAGTTATAAAACTTACCAAATTACCGTAAATATTAATTAAAATAAATAATGTCTTTTCTGTGACAAAAAGATAACCTATCCAATAGTGCCTTAAACATACACTATATATTCTCAAATAATTAAACAGATATATACATACGTACATATATACATATATTTTAGTCATTAAAAGTCGTAAATATAATTTATATATATGACAAGTTGTAACAAGATGTTTCTTCAGCGTGACACGTAATTAGTTTTATAGGACCCTTGTCACATCGACCTTCAGACGAAAACTAAATGTCAAATTGTCACGAGAATACTGATTAAATTATAGATACTGACACACTCTCGATAAGAAATGAGAAATATATTTGTTGGAACTCAAAGGAAAAATACTTCTTTCGTAAAAACTTAATCATCACTCTTCAAATAGATTTATTTCGTGATCTTATTACAGCTTAGAGCAAATTTATCTTATAGCTTTAGTGCTTCTATGTCCAGCTTGTAGTTAAAATCATTTTAAGAAAAATATAGAGATATATTATATTATGCGAGAGATAAATCTTAATGCAAAAATCTATTATTATTCAAATCGTAATGGATTATCTTGGGAAACGTTTTTGATATTAAAAGCCAAGTATTTATAAGTGCATCATTGAATTTAATGTTGAAATTAACAACCAATGTTTTTATAATCAAACTCGATAGGGAACGATAAATATTAATTAAGAAAATATTATTGCAAAAGTTTTTGTTGATTAGAGTTTTAGCTGATTATTATTTAAAGGTACAACTGAGCTTGCAGAAAGTGATTATAAATAAGAACGTGTTTAACCTTAGAACATAAATCATAGGCTTAAGCATCGTTTTAGTTGGGACATTAAAACTGTATATATGTATAATAAAGCGTCATACTAGAATTAAACTGATGATTCATATATCACAATTTGGACAACTGGAGGTTTCGGTTGACTCGACACTGGGCTGGTTATTTCCCTGATAACAGCTTCCACTGCTGCTTCAAATTCCAGTTGTCTCTTCTCGCCAAGCGAATCCCGAGCGCTACCGAGTTTTGGCATTGTTACCTGAAAATATAACTTATATTAATATAATACTATAAAACAAATTTTATTGATCCGCCACTTCATGCTTCTCTGTATTTTTAGACCTACGTATTATCTAAGATTTTTGTGAGTATCCATTTAAATGAAACGAATATTGTCGGATTAATTACGCTATTTTTATTTTTGATTATAAACTACATACTCCCGACGACGGGTTGACAAGATGTCATCACGAATGTGGTCACGATTGCTGTGAAGTAACCCGTCGGGAGTATGTAGTTTATAATCAAAAATAAAAATCGCGTAATTAATCCGTAAATATAAGTTTCCTTTATACGTAATACTGATTATTAAAAGATTCTATGATTTTAACCCGCAGTTAAAGTGATTTAAATCATTTTCATTTATGATTACCGTAATAACATCATTTGGTAACACAAATGTAAATGTCATTTGTGTTTATGGTATTTCGTCTCAGACCATAAAGTCTCATTGCCCTTTCCATTAAACCTCCCATTGCCTCATGTCAATGACGCACTCCGATCCGCACATCAATATTATGCCAGCCTTACTCATGTGACGAGGTCCTATACTCACACTAGTGGATATATTTACTACCCATATACATATATATTTGATGAGTGTTTTTATTTAAAAACTATAAATGCTTCTTTGTAGCATATATCTGCATTGTAAATTTATAAGTAAACATATATTTATATATTTTCATTATTTCATCAATATGTAGTTACTAAACGGTCTTCAAAGATTTTTACTGCTTCAAATAAAATATGTATATGGTAAATTTATTTTCTAACTACAGTCAAAACCGTTTATAACGACATCGTTTACAACAACCTATCGGTTATTACAGCCAGATTGTATGGTCCCGTCCGAATTGCTAGTAAACTATTCAGTATACATACCGCTTATAACAACATCGGATACAGCGACATATCGCTTAGAACGACGAAAATTTATCGATATTAATCGACTTTAATGACCAACCGCTCCTTGTCCTTACCCAGTTGCAAAGATCTACTGCTTTAGAACAAAGAATTGAGATAGAGGAATTTATTGGAATAGATAACAGTGTCGCGTTAGCGCCTTAGCTACTGAGGAAGAGATTCTTGCAGAAGCTAAAAGTAACAACCCTAACACTAACGAACAACACGAAGACCAACAAGACCTTGAAGAATAGTTTCAGCCAACAATAATTTCCGAGGCTCTTAATGTTGTAACAGTTTTGCAAAAAAAAAATTTGCCTTTAACGAACACTTTGATATTGATGATACTCATACCTTGAGTATGAAACGTAAAATGCTAAAAATATTTGAGACTGTGCTAAAAAAAATAATTCACTTTGTATTCTAATTATTTCGTAATAAATATTTTATTTCTTTTCTGAATCGTTTACATAACCTATATCTATACTAGATAGATATGTGACTACATATGACAATATGTATAACTACTGTAGTTGTGTATATGACTATTGCTTATAACGACTATCGGATATAACGTCGGATATATACGGTCCCTTCAATGTCGTTATAAACGGTTTTGACTGTATTCCTGTTTTCTATTTTGAGATAAAAGAAACAGATTTTGTAAAAGAATAGCCTGGAGAGATTTTTGTAATATTATAGTAATTTTATTTAATATATAAAAGTTTTATGCAACTCTTTCAGTATCCTTATAATATAGCTTCATCAATATTAAGGAAATTACTTTTATCATCTGAAGAACAAGCACCTTTTCACCAAAAAAAATCATTTATTAGGAATTAATTACATTCCGTTTTAAATGATATTTATTTTAACTAAAATACTGAAAGATATACAGGACACCATATCAATTTCTTACTTTCTTCATTTAAATGTGAACAAATAATTTAACTTATTATAAAAATGAATTATCTTAATAGGTTTTTTTAATAATATTAATTCAATTGTATAGTAACAAAAACTTAAAATGAATACTACCTAATTCAACCCATAAATTGTTCTGATATGTGTGCTCTACCAAATGAGTAATCACTGTAAATGTACCTCTATACTCATTCTGGATGATGTAGCTTTGTAAAATTAGTATGGTCTCAAAAAACATACATATATATGTATGTTATAACACATCAAACGCTTCTGTCTTACTCAAAGTATTTTAAGTGTATACATGGTACTTACTTAGAAATTATGGCTTATAGTTTTGAAGTATTTTTATAACTATTATTTAATATATACTTATTTATGTATATCTATTGTTATATACTAATTAAGCAACTCTTATTCTTCCTGTGTACAGAGAAACGTAACATCGTAACATTTGTTATTGTGTTTTATGTTTCATAAAGTGTGTAATGAATCTGAATTCATAAGGATACATAAAAGAATGAATCTACGAGGATGTCATCTATAAATATAAATAAAATTTGAGGGTCTGTTTGTAATGTTGAAATAACCGTTATTTCCTACATGCATATAAATATATACATATATGATGTATATAGGGTACATATACCAAAATGATATTTTTAAATCTATCTGTTTGTTCGTTCCGGTTTATCTCTGAAATGGCAGGGTTTATATTTGCAGATAGCTGATGAAATAAAGAGTGAATTAGCCTTTTATCCCGTTCCCGAAATTAATGATAACGCGCGCGAGTGACAGGCCGGGTATATATGGCGCTTGAAACTTTTTTCATTGTTTTGTTTTTTACGCAGACGGAGTAGCGACTAATAGCTAGTTAGAAATAAAATTTTGTATCACGTATCCAGAAAAACTCTGGCACGTGCCATACCCGTCCTGTATGTTTAGTTCAAGTTAGCATTGTCACACTACATACTATTAATTGTCTATTTGCCTTTCAGTTACCTAATATAGGTATGTACAGACATTTATGAATGAAGTCTGTTAATACTCCGTAATTATCGTGACAATGGCAACTGACCACAAGTCTACGTCATCAAATTACATACTAAGAGTTTCCTGGTTTTCATTCAGAAATATTCAACACTCTGCACTAACATGAAGTTAAACTTCGAGACTATTTGACATAAAAATAAGTTAAAATAAACATAAAAAACATCACCACTTGAAAAAATCTTTTTATTAGAATTAATAATTTTAACCTTAATTTATACGTGAACCAAACTTGTGAACTCAAATATTTACGACGCCTTAGTACAAAGCAGATCATTTTGAATGTCAAGAATTTACAACCGCATTGATAGCATATCTCACCACATATTTCCCATTTATTGGTGAATCCTATCGTCGTTTGATAAAAATAGATCAGCTGTATTATTTAACAAATTACAGCGCTATTAGAATTTTATTAGCACTAAAACTAAAAGGGTGGCTATTGGGATGACGAAGCTTTAGCCGACCTCATTTCTTTCTAATGCAAGCGGTATTCAAAACTAAAATCATATAATATACAATTCTATATTTATACCATGCTATAGAAGTATTAGATAATACTTTAATATATTTATAATACGTTCTACTTTAAAAAGCATGATGTTACGATTGCATACTGTTTTATAGTCTTAAACAAGAGTACGTAGATCAATCAAGCAAGATATCAAACATTTATTTCATAGTACAAACGTCTGACAATAATCTCATACTCGGCGTCTCTTTAAGATGAAAATCTTCATCTGTCTGCTATAATCAATCACGTACCGTTTGAACTCGATAGCACTCATGTATCAACGCCAATTGGAATTTCATTAGCGAACACTCCAGATTTGTTACACAAAGTCTTCAATCTGACTATCATTACAATTACACCAAGGTCTGGTTTCCATTTTATGTGGTACTTTGTTCATTATGTTCAAACATCTAACCGACGTTGTTATAAAACAAATAGTATAGCTTTATTGCTTTAACATAAAAGTTTTACGCCATGCGGAAACTAATCCAACATGGGTAAATTACTTGTTTTAGGTCAAGGCTTAAACACGATCCTTGTTTTAAATGGGAATGCTACTTACAATGGTAAGAACTTTTCTCAGGTCGTTATGTAAGGCGGACACGTCGACACCCCTACCGGCGTCGCCGAGTCTTCTCAATGTGTCTGCGAACGGCCCAGAGAGAGCTCGCAATTGTTGCCAAGACCTGGCATACTGTCGCCTCACAAGTTCGATAATAGTAGACGTCAGCGCCAATCCAATAAGTATGTACAGTGTACACAGCAGCATATATTTGGGTCTCTCTGAAATATTTACACATTTAATACTTAGGTTCTAACTTAAAAATATAACACGATTTTGACTGCACACATACATAACGATGTCTTATAAATAGTTGCTAAGTGGAATAACTTACTTGGAACTAGGTCACCGAAACCGATGGTCGTCATGGTGATAAAACAGAAATAAAATCCATCATAGAATGTCCAGTCATCTTCCCACATTTTAAACAAGCCCGCACCAGCAGAGAGGTAAACGAACAGGAAACATACTGCCCACAAAGCATACAAGGATCTCTGCCCAGCCGGATTGGCCTCCGATAGTCGAGTACACCATTCTATGACGGAAGAACTTCATATAAAAATATAAAATAAATACAATAATCAGAAATTATATCAATATACCTTCTAACGATAAAAGTGTGACTCGTTTCTAATATTTAAGCAGAAAAATATGACACACATATATACCCTATGTAGACTAAGATATTAGATTCGATGTAAATATTTATAAATATATCGAATACCTTTGGCTTTCGGTTTGATCAAAAAAGTCAGTGTACAAATATTGTATATTTAAAATCGCGCATACTTTTAAAATCATAAACAAAGATCTGATATCCAAGTCGTTAAGAATATGGAGATCAGGATTGTACATATTTATTTGGTTTCTGACCTAGTTTTGACTTGGCACAAATATGTACTTACATATTTTAGAACAAGTTCAGCCTATAATTTTTATTCTTCCTACAATACGTGCCAATGAAATAAAAATATAAAGCGAATTATGTTTATTGAAAACTTGCTATTAAATGAATATTGTTTGTAACGTGTGAGAGTATGTGAGAATTTTTTCAGATAGTCGTCAGAAGATTTATAGACGACGCACGTGACCGCAGACCACGCATAAATAAAAGAAAAACTTACTCGGCATCGTCGGTAATTGTTTTGCTACAACTGACACAACTGTAGCAAACACTCTTCCCAAATCAGCTATCACTGTCAGTGTTAGGGGAATGCCGATAAGTGCGTATGCGATGCAAAATAATCTCCCCCAAAACGTCTCTGGCACTATGTTGCCGTATCCTATAACAAAACAAATATTATAGCACTTTCTACATATATGTGTGTAATTCACGTTTAAAAGTTTCATTACAAAAATGTTTCATATTTGTATTAAAGATATCTTCTGTTTTCAAATGTATATATAATATACATTGTCAGTTATGCTTACATGGTCTTACACACCTATTGTAGTGAGCACTGTGGAAGAAAAGAATACAGCTTGCAATACACTCCACTTTTCTTCGAGCGGTGGAAAATTATTCTCTATGTCTAAAGCTAGACCATTTCCAGAAGCGTCTTCCAGGACCTAAAATATTATTAAAGATCATTAAATCTCTAACAAATATTCATGTTTTCCTAGTCTGTTTTAGCTCATATTAAATTAATTTATATTCATCCTTACATCAGTTAAATTCTAACAAAAATAAACCGAAAGACGATTTTGTTATTAATATATATAACTTTTTTATCACCGTCCAAGATGTTTGAAATATAAACAATATTTTTAAACAGGAAATATTAACCTGATCACGAGAAACTTCTCTATTTTATAGAATACTTCCAAGTTAATCGCATAAATATCCGCTTTCTCACGTTATCACGTCATATTTGATAAAAAATGTATAATATTATTATCATATTTGATATTCACTCTCAGTTGAACTTTTGTGATTTGACCCAAGTGATACATTTGTATCTCATAGATAAAATTGTTTCATCACAGATAACGTTGGAATACAGATAAATTAATCCGATTTAATAATAGTTTAATCAAGTGAGTAAACACATTAACATCTGTTATATATGAGATGATGAAAACATTATCGTGAGATAATCAGAACATCAACATATCTCAAATACATGACATTATAATAAGAAATTAAAAAGATTTAATGTAATTATTTAAATCAAAATCTGTGATTCATTATGTTATTAAATGTTTTTCTCTTAAAGTTAATCATAATAGTTTCTTCTGTAAACTATTTCATGAAACATTGTATGCAAATCTAGTTGTTACTTGGTGTGAAAATCAAAACAATGTTTTTCGATTTTCAATCAATTTAGGATAATTTATTTATTTATAGTGAATACTAAATATCTTTTTTTACCTTTTCGTAAATAGCCAAATGATCACTGATGACTTTTTCTAAACTAACTTCTGATGTCCCGTTTATATAATAATCCGCGACTATTTTAATAAGGTTCCATCTCTCTGTCAAAAGTCGATCTCTAAGATATTCTTGCTTCGCCATCTCCGCTGGATATTCAAGAGCACGGAACACCTAAAATACGTATAAAATATTTATAAATCAGTTGTATTAAAATGTTTCAAACACATACAATATATACATTTAATTACTACAATGAAATAAAGTTATATAAATAATGTAAGATTTATTCATATAATTATAGATTAAAATGATTTTCACAATAAATGTCAATAGTAGTAAAACTAAAAATTCTCAAATTCCTTTTGAAATAAACACGATGATATTTTTTTCAGTTTTATATCACTTAATTCTCGAAAGTTTGACGTGTCGCCGTGATTTTTAAGGACGGGCATAAATGGTGGATACATTTTTTGATGCAAAATCAAATGCCAATTAGTGTCCTCAAACCAAACGTGACTCTTAATATCATAGACGCCAGCTTTAAGAGAACCGTAACGTTTGCTGGGATCGGTGTCCAAAAGATGTTTCATTAAAGTTTTGCATTGTGGTGTGACGTAATCTGGGGTCTTGAAAACCCCGCTAAGAATTTTCTCATAAAGCTTCATTGTATCTGAATGATAAAAGGGAGGGTAACCCGCACTCATTTCGAATATCAGTATTCCCAAGGACCACCAGTCAACGGAATATGTATAACCTTTAGATAATATAATTTCAGGCGCTATATATTCAGGAGTTCCACATATCGTCCATGTCCTGCTCTTTATAACTTTACAAAAACCAAAATCAGCAAGTTTAATGTAACCAGATTCGCTTATCAAGATATTTTCAGGTTTGACGTCCCTGTGTATAATACAGCAATGATGAAGGTATTCCAGAGCCAACACTATTTGAGCTGCATAAAATTGTGCCAGCGGTTCCGATAGATTTCCCATACGTTTGATTAATGTAAACAATTCACCACCAGCTTCAAAAGGTAACAGTAAGTAGAGATATAAATTGTCTTTACAAGAACAAACGAGTGATATTAAAAAAGGGAATGTTATGCTCTGCAGTATTTTCTTTTCTAGAATAACTTGTTTGACGTTTTTCTTCTTAACTACCTGAGTTTTATCAAATGCTTTCATAGCACTATAATGCAGAGTTGATTTATCACGTACGAGAAAAACAGTACCAAATGATCCAACCCCTAATATTTTAACGACATCAAAATCATCTACACTCTTTTCATACTTTGATGGGTTGTTGTACAATCGCAAGAATTCTTGTTTCAATTCATCCAAATAACGTTTGTGATTCAGCTGTTGTTCGTAAGAATATGAAATTTGTTTTTGTTCCTTCCTATCAAATATCATTTCAGATCAATGTATGATATTTTTAAATTTCCTTTTTTTATAGAATAAATCAATCATAATAACATAGACTATTCTATTCTAATCTTTGAGTTCTTGGCTAATATACACTAAATGTTTAGAATTCATATGTACTGATTGTCACAAATTCCTGTTTATGATTATGACAGCCGTTTGTCCCGTTTTGACATTCATAATAGACTTAAATGTCATAGCTTTTAAATTTTCAGTTTATTTTTTTCATTTCATGTACCGCCTGGGAATGTTTCTATTAATTTTAAAGATAATAAAAATAAAAAAAAATACAATAAATTTGTTAGTTTAGTGAAACATCGTTAAAGTTTAAAATTTGCTTTATTTGAGAATTTAAAGTATTTCTATGAGTAATAACATTTTAGAAATATATAAATAATTAACTTTATACTAAAACAACGTATATTTAATTATAATAATTTAATTAATTACTTGGATTGCGTAGCTAGAAATCCTGAAATTCTTGTTCGTAATAACATTTTGAACCTTTTTTAAGTTTCATTTGTTCTATCTCAGGAAAATTGCTGGTGTCGCCAGGAGAAGGTGCTATAGGTATAAATGGAGCTTGAACCCTCTGGTGCAGAATTGACAGCCAAGAAATATCATTAAACCAAGGATGTCGTTTTATATCATAAACACCACTGATCAGTGATCCCAAACGTTTCGTTGGATCTACTTGCAATAACAATTTTATTAAATTTTTACAATCAGGATATAACGTATCTGGACATTTATATACTCCATCTAAAATCTTTTCGTAAAGTTTACTTGGATCAGATGCGTAAAACGGTGGATATCCGGCACCCATTTCAAAAATGAGAACACCTAGCGCCCACCAGTCAACGGAAAATGAGTATCCCCGCGACATTATTACTTCTGGAGCTAAATATTCAGGAGTTCCACAGAGAGTCCATGTCTTTTTCTTGATAATTTTACAGAAACCAAAATCACAAAGTTTCAAGTAACCGTTAGTATCGACTAATATATTTTCAGGCTTAATATCTCTGTGAACGATTCCACAATGGTGTAAATATTCTAAACCCAAAGTGACCTGAGCAGCATAAAATTTGGACAAGTTATCCGAGAGACTTCCATACTTCTGGATGTAAGTGAACAATTCTCCCCCCGCCACGTACGGCAGAACAAAGTACAGATAAACATTGTCTTTGAATGCATCTTCCAAAGATATGACAAAAGGAAACTGAACTCCTTGAAGAATTCTCTTCTCTAACTTTAAATGTTTTACATGTTTCCTCTCTACCACTATTTCTTTTTCAACTACTTTCATAGCATGATATGTAAATGAAGTTTTATTTCTCACTAGAAACACCTCACCATAGGCGCCGTTTCCAATTGCTTTGATACTATCAAAATCACTAGGTGTACTGTTTGATTTAGTGTTTTCATCATATCTCCTTATAAAATCAGCCTTCAACATATCCAAATAGCGTCTATGGTCCCTGTGGTTCTGTTGGGTATAATTTTGCTTAGCCATCTATATATTTCTCTATACTATATAAACTTCTTCCAAATACATAAAACAACAAATCTAAAAGAACTGTTGTTACAGAATTATAAAAATGATCACGTCAAATTTATCATCCTATACGTGACATTTTTGAAAGCGTTTAAAACCTAATAATACGAATACTGTATTTTAAAAAAATAAACATAAATGCAACTAATATTTACTACCATAAACGAAATAAGCATATTTTTTTAACACGAAACAAATCGTATTTTAAATTAAAAAAATCAAAATAAAACAAAATAAATCTTTTTGACTAAAAAAACAGAAGAATATTTTTAGCCTTACAATCAATATTGACAGCTCCTTTTTGCAAATGATATTGGATAAAAGCCATTCGAAACTTTAAACTGAATATTTTTCCAAGCTGATTTCCGAGGCTAGAATCAAAAATATGGCAGATGATGCCAAAAGAACTATAGCGATGACTTCTTTAGGAGGTTATTCGACATCAAGGCAGGAACAGTATAATCAATATCTTCATAAGCTGCGACAAGATTTTATTGATACTTGGAACGAAAAACCTCAGACCAATGCAAAATTATGTGACTTTGAGAAGCAGAAAGTATTGGGGACCGGAGCATTTGGCGTCGTGTACTTATCCAGACATGTACATACTGGTAGATACTACGCTATGAAAATGTTGGAAAAGGAAAAAATTGTGAAGTTAAAGCAAATTGAACATAGCTACTATGAGAAGAAAATTCTATGCGGCCTTAATTTTCCTTTCTGTGTCTATATGAAGTACTTTTTCAAAGATAATGTCTACCTTTACTACGTTCTACCATTCGTGGCTGGAGGTGAAATGTTCTCTCATTTACGAAAATTGGGAAGGTTTGAAGAGAGGTCATCAAAATTTTATGGTGCTCAAGTAGTTTTAGCTCTCGAATATTTACACGCATGTGAATTAGTTTATCGAGATCTTAAGCCAGAAAACATACTTATAGAGAGAACCGGTTACATCAAAATAACTGATTTCGGTTTTTGTAAGCTGATACGTGGAAGAACTTGGACTTTATGCGGTACTCCTGAATATCTAGCACCGGAAATTATTCTGAGCAAAGGATACGGCATGTCTGTCGATTGGTGGTCGCTTGGCATCCTCTTGTTCGAAATGAGTGCTGGACATCCACCATTTTACGCTTCCGATCCTATGAGAATTTATGAAAAAATTGTTGCTGGCAAATATCGATGTCCGAATCACTTTTCTCAGGAACTTAGAGATTTGATCTCGCGCGTTCTTCAAGTCGACATTACCAGACGTCTCGGAAATCTTAAGAACGGAGTTTTAGATTTTAAGAATCACAAATGGTTTGCGGAAATCGATTGGGATGGCCTCTTGAATAGTCGAATACCAGCTCCTTTTATTCCCAAAGTGCGATCTCCTGGCGATACCACTTATTTTGATAGCTTCGAAGATGAATTGACGAAGGAGAGCCCTATATGTTTGTTCGAAGATGACTTTGCTGACTTTTAGTCATATTAACTATGTAATACTATGTACCGGAATAGGACGCACAAAGTTATTTTAAGTAGGAATTATAAACTGTTTCTTTTAGGTTATTAATTATGTTGAATGGTACATGTTCGTTTATTATTATTCAAAAACTTCTCTGTAAGTAAAACTTATTCTTAATATATTGATTATTATTAAAGCTGCAATGAAACAATTGCAGCTTATTTAGTTGTTTTATTGTAAATACTTCTAAAGTATTTAATAGTAATAATAATTAGTAAATTATTAAGGTATTAGATTAAGGATCGCTTTATCATATTGTCTTTAATGCTTACCAAACCTCCGCCAGCAGTGTACAGCATCAGAGCAACAAATAATCCGACATGGGATAAAGCAGCTCTTGGGAAGAAACGCTCCCATTTCGAGACGCGAGCTGGAGTCCCCATCAAAGTCTCTGTTTCCCAATTCACACTCTTCACTCCTTGACACATTTTGACTTCTCCTACTACCTCTACCACAAACTGAACTAGGTTTCCATTTCTGTTTTATAATCCTCACTACAGGTCATTATTTTCTGAAAAGTTAGGTTTCTAAATATATCTGTTAGGGCTTCCAGTCTACAATTATAGCTACGCCGAAAGCTTTTATTAAGTAGGAAGCAGGGTATTCTGTTGCAAGCGACATGCATTTGTGCTCTACAACAACGTTTATTTTTATTTTGTCAACTTTTTGTCACATTTTTCATATAGGACAACGCCTGTTACATTTGGTTTGTATTACCTTATATTTAGGTAAAAATGCCTACAACAAGTAAATATCCATATACCCGTTTTCTTTATTAAAAAAAGTGTTGTAATATTTGTGAAGTCGTTTAAAAAAAAAAGATTTTTTTATTCAGTACCTTTAATAGGAATCTACTCAGAGAACGTTTGAAACTTCATATAAAAATATATGAAAAATTTTCAAAGATTTTGATTATATAAAATCCTCAATTTCATTGTTTATTCATATTACAGAATGTCTACACTCTATTCGACCTAAGGCTTACAGAATTACATAGTCTTGTAATTATTACCATGACATAGAAACTTGAACTTACTATTGATCAAATTGACAAAGATTATTCAATCTCATTAATAAATCATATAATTCTCCTCAAAAAATATTTCTTCTCATGTCCTTACATTACAACTAAAGTGTCTACCACTTAATATTTAAGTAACTGGTCTTAACAGAATCGTTTCAAATTTCTTATATGAGATAAAATATCTTATATTTCGAGAGCTTTGATAGAAGGTAACTAATTACATATTTGCCTACCTCACTACAACTGAGTATCATTTCGCTATACAATGTTTCTAATTGGATGGAAGGAACACCTTCTTTAAGAAAAATATATATTAACATAAATAATTTACTCATGTAAAGGAAATATAATTCAACTTCTCTTGTTTGGTTTGTGAATAATTGAGTAAAATTATAAACCGATTTCAGGCAAAGGAAATATCCTCGAAAGTCTTTCTCATACTAAAAACCATCCATTATAATATAGGAGGAGAACTTAATATTTCTGTGGTTGCCAATTTTAAACCAAACCATGGGTATTAAATGAAAGTTAAAAATGGACTTTTAATCCAAAATACTTTTTTAATCAAATAAAGCCTGCAATGCGTTAAGTTACATAAGAACAGAATAATTCAGCGGACAAGACGTTGACCTATCAAACTAACTTAAATGTAAAAGACTTCACCCTTCAAACTATTGATATAAAATTTATGATTATCGTATATATTTATTATAAAAAAAATTAAAACACGTACCAATTATTTTTTCCCGAAAATAATAAAAATATATTCGGGAACCCGATTTTTTTATATTCTCGCTTACTATTCACAAAACATAATTAATTGTTAATATTAAACTACACGCGTGATAAAGCACGATCCGCGAAGTTTTGTCCGTTTCTCGTTGGGATTAAACAACACAAGAGTACGTCTAACCGCGTCAACGGTCCGCAAACAACTGATCTTGTACGTCCTGCAGTTCACAGATACTGAAAACTATTACAAGAAATCAATTTCACATGTACAGATAGATATTGGATATCAAAAATAATTTTCATTCGTAATTCACAAACAACCTTGGTGAGTTTTATGTATTTCTTTTGGCTTTATACAACACAGTCGAATGAATGGATTATTTTTAAAATATATCTCACAATGTGTTACATTTCGCGTATCTTTCCAAAGATTTCTCGTAAAGCACGTTATAGTTGTATAACGCGGACATCAGGCGCCTGCCTAATAATAAGCAGTCTAGAGTCTAGACCAATAAGCCGAAACGTTTAAGGTTTTTATTTGAATATCAGTATCTAGATTTATGCCAAATCTTTCATAACGATATTTGGACCTTTTCTGATAACTATAATGAATACGGGTATTGCAGTATTCCTTTTAATGCTAAAACCATACTAGAGGATTCATATTAATAAATGTTTACGAAATATACTTATTTCTCCTGACAAATAAATTATAATAAATTTCTTTTATGTAGATTAATTTTATTGCTCTATAAAAAATATAAAGCCAGATTTTGAACCAGTTGTATCATTATTTAGCAATAATTAGAGAAAAACTGGGGAATTTATATCACAGTTACTTAAAAAGGGACCCCGGGTCGATGTTGCGGCAAATCCATTATAAACACGCGACGCCTGATCGTCTCTGGGATAACACAAATTAGTAATATTGCTTGTGTTTCATAACAGGAGCTTTATCGATTGACTTTAGTAAAAAGGTGTTCATACAATTAACAATTTCCCAGGATAAAAGAATTCTTTAAATGTAAGAGGAAAAAATCTTTGATTATTCTGTCGTACAGTGCTATTAAAAATATTATTAATATATATGTACATAGTTGACTGCAGAAAAAACGTACATAATCTTATTTATAATTTTAAAAAAGATACATTAAAACAGTTTGAAAAGGAAACTATAAACAAAAAATACTTTAAAACTATTAATTGTAGCATTACGCAAATTATATTGTACAAAATTTTGCCCGCGACATGAACTGAACCAATTTTGACATTAGGCACAGATAGACATAAAGTGTTTTAAAACAGGATACATACTAGCCAATCACTGACTTGTATATTTTATGTCTTATGTCACGCGAAAATAACACGGAACCCCTTGATAAATTGTAGCCTATATCTTAATGTTCATTAATATAAAGTTTAATCACAATCTGTTAAGTGATTATTGTGTAAAAGGGCAAGAGATATCTATACATCATCACAAATATTTTGAATGTTAGTAGAATGAAAGCATGTCGGATGAAAGTTGTCATACTTTTTTCTAAAAAAAATCAATACCAATAAATCAATCATGTTATTAAATTAACTTGTGTTTCCTTACAAATAAATATACAAAAAAGTGATACTATATATAATATATTTTAACACGTATAATTACAGCCTCAACACTAAGATACACTTAGGCGAAGATATCATAAAGCCTTAATATAGTATAATATCTTTATGCAATTCTATCGATAAAAAAATCGACAAACTCGTAGCAATTGTATTAAATTATGTTATTTTTATTGTTGCCGCGACAAAAAATATGACGACTAATTTGTTTTGCATTTCGTCTTTTCATTCTAATATGTAGTTTGAATTGTAACTTATGATGAGGGTAAAAACAGTTAAGAAATTTTGATACTCCATCATCACACTAAAATTTTCATTCATAAATCTTCCCACATAACAGTATTAATATAGTATAATTTAGGTTAATCGGCAAACGCTTCTTAAGTAGTGTAACGATGCCAACTTGGATAAAGCACACAGCTTATTAGACTTGGGTGGAAGCTCAATGATGTAATGCTAGCTCGGGTCAGAAAAAGGTACGTGGGGTTTTTAGTCAGTGGGAGTTTCACACTCAATCTTGCCTTATCAAGACTTCTTCTTCTACCTGGCAATTTCCTAACTTTAGCCAGGGTCTGCCTTACACGTTAGGAATAGTTTTGGCTAATTGTTTCTTACGACCGGCCACCTGCCTGACATCAACCCTCTTTGGGACTGCATTAATCAGTGATGTCTAAATACTCTTAAAAAGTACATATGACTCGGAAAAATAACATTGGTACTTCCCAGGGCTAGGATCGAACCCGCGCCCTCGTGCATGAGAGGCGGGCCTTTTAACCACTAGGCTACTTATGACTTATCAAGACTAAAAGGGTTAGTTGTTGGTTTTCCCAATAAAAAAGAAGCTTATCAGACTTAATCAACATAATTTCAAATAAAACTATTGTGATCTATAACTTACGTGACAATAAATTAGGTCATACAAGCAATTTTTGCTTCTGTATTATAATTAAGAGTAATTTATCTTTTGAAAACAATTACATTTTTTTCTTATAATTTATTTGAGATGATATAATTAGCAACACAGACATTTACAAAGTAATAATTAAGTAATAAATTATTCGATTTTATTATTAACGTACAAAGTCCGACTGAGTACAAATCCTCGTAAATATATCTTTGTCAATTAAGAAGAAAATAAGGATCATAGATTACGGCACATAGATACAAATGGCTATCACATTAATAGAATGATTACGTAAAAATATAGTCAGAAATATTTTGTTTCGTATTGTTTATTTAATAACGTATCAAAAATGAGAATGAGAATATTAATATCCTTGATCTGCTACCGAAATATCTACTTGCCAGCTCCATCAGATTTTAGGAATCATGCAATTCCCTTCAACATGGTTATAATAATACATAATATATTTGTCGTATTTTTCAACTAATACTACTTCTATTATACTAGTAGTTTGTAAGATAAAATGTTAAAATGTCTTATAAATCTTCCATAAATTTAATACTTGATCCATCCATATTTAGTTGTTTTTCGTTAGTGAACACATTAACTACCCAAAATTCTTAAGATGATATGCTTATGAATCTATGTATCTGTCTGTCTAGTTACTTTTAGTAAGAATAGCTT